TTGTGAATTTATAATCACATTTTCCCCCAGCAACTCGACATAATTATTCACTTTTTTTCCCTTTATATAGACACATGCAAACAGTCTTGATCTATTTTTATAAACTTTTCTTATGTTGGATAGCAAGATAATATTTATAATTACGATATCACAACAAATTACAGATTTTAATTAAATTCTCACTACATCATAAATATACTTGGTAAAGAATGTAAAAAACGTACGTTACGTTTACAATGTCTCACATCCTGCATCGAGCATAAACTCCAGACTCTCCAGAAAGACCTTATTATCGACATCATGAATCGGCGGAAACTTTGGTTATGAAAAAGCCGCGCGATATTGTAAGTGTATGATAATCACGTATAATCACTCGTGATAACGTCGCAGCCTGTGTTTGCCAAACGGGTTTCTTTTTCCACCGTAGTTTTGCTATTAATCATCCGACGAATATATCGAATATTGTACAATTTGACCGATGTGATATTCATGTGTAAGTTTCATAGTCAAAAGTAACTTTTGTTATATGACTAAACAATAAGCTAATGAATATATGGAATAGAGGTTGGAATACTCAATGAACTAATTAATTTCTTTGTACTTTCCTCTTCTGTCACTATTCTAAGAAGAAAAAATTATTTCCTGTTGGTTACATTTGCCTATCTGATTAGCCGATAAATTTATACATATTCTTAAAAATCCAAGCTGAACGAAGCAGTTTAGCTTTTTAATCAATTACTGACACTTTTTAATCTATCACTGACAATTTTTTATTTAAAAAAGATTGTTATTTTCTAGCAATTTTGTCACTTTATCTTTATCAAAATTGAGGAATAATGAATATATTTATTAAATATATTTGTTTTTAATAACGCAAATTGAAATACATGATTTATTTTATTGTTCTTACATTACTGAAGAAGTTTTATAATAGAAACAATGAATCAGATAAATAACTGATTATTCAGTGGTAATAAATAATAAATATTATTATATAGATATCATTAGACAGATTCATGAAAAAATTATATTCATATAAATTTACATAAATAAATACGAACGATTTTATTCGCGTGTCAGTGGAATATTCCATTAGTTTATTTTTTAGTCTATCGATCTTTGTAGCTACTTATTTAAAAAGACTGTATATAATTATAAGTAATAGTTACACATGTGTGGAATCATATTAAAGTCATTCAGTATATCATATATTAATATTTTTATAACGTCTCTATATTTATAAATGACAATGAATTTAGTGATCATCTGTGAACGGTGATAATTAAAAGTAATTAAATCAAATTGTCACAGCTGTATATAACAGTCCAGCTCATTTATTCCAGTACCTCTATTAAATATTTTGACCTTTGTAGGACCGGAGGCCCTTTAGGAATTCGACAGTGGCGCCATATTTTTCGCCACTCAACTCCATAATATTGACAAAAAAGTCGATCCAAAACATGCCGGTCCTCAAAAGATTAATATCACGCGAAGCTAACTTCTAATCTTCTAAACTAATTGTAATATAAACATCTTTTTATATTATTGTACATTTTTTAATTTTACAAAATTTAATTAATTTAAAGAGTTTGTAGTTTGGTTTCGATCTGCAAAATTAAAGTGATATAACTTTTACATTTTTTAGTGTATTTTCTCTTTAATTTATACGATTTAAATATTTTTATCTTTATTATTATTACAAAATGTTATGTATAAAAATACATTATCATTTATTTTTGCAGATAAATTTAGTTTTGAATGTAAGTTCGACTTTTTGTTAAGATTGAAATATTTTATTGTTACACCAGCGTGACAATCGTATTGCAGTGCGCCTTGACCGAATGATCTCAAGTTGTTTGCGTAATTCTAATTAATGCACGACACATTGAGGTTAAATATCCGCGCGGGTTAAATGTCTACGTTCGCGGATCATATCGGGGATCGCGCGAGGAAGCAAGACCGGTCACAATTATCGGCGTCTTGTCGCTTTTTACGCGGCAAAATTACAGAACCGTGCATCGCACCGCACGTCAAGATGCACGTACGCGATTCATTCACCCAAAACACACCAGGCGAGACAGACAAACCGCAGGTGTGGCGACCAATGTCAGTCTTGACGTAATGCGACCTGATCTGCACGGCGACGATGATGAGTCCGTGCAATGTGAATTGGACGGACAGTTTTATGCACCGTCTGCTTTGCGTCGAGCGCATAAGCACTTTCAGTTACGCGACGACAACGACAGACGACCAATAAATCCCTGGTGATTTATTTCCAGTATATCACACTTGTTTTCCGTTGAGCAATCGTCGCGTCCATTCGCTTCTTACGCAGATGCAAATCCGACTATTTTTAAATTTAGTCTCGCGAGCTTGAAGAATTGTATTACGCGCGAATACATATATAATAATATTTACCTCGCGGATCTCCCCGAAATTGCGAATCTTCAGAACCTACCAAACGTAAAAACGTAAAAAAACGGACCGTGTAAACGCATGTTTCTGCATTGTGAACTGCTGGATTTTGAAGCCTGATTTTAAAAGATATACTGAAAAAATAATGTTATATCAATATTATTTCAATTGAAAATAATTTTGTTGATTCAATAATAGTATTAATGAAACATACATCATACTTTTGTTTTAATAAAATTTTATTTGTTTTATTAATGGTATTATTGTGGATTAACAATATTATTTTTAGTGATAACAATGTTGTATAATATAATTTTCTGTTTCATCGAATTACGACTGCTGCACGTGTGATAATCGCGTATTTTAACATTTTAATACAAAAAAATAATCTGTAAAAAATCTTCTTCCATACACCGGAAGAATTCTTATAAATAATCCCATTAAAAATAATATCTTAAATAATCTCAAAAGAATAATCTTATAAAACATTCATTTTAGACTCAACATTGATTTCAAAATGTTTCATGGGAGCGTATATTTAAGCATTCATATTTTCTAATTGCAAAGTTCTGCTTGAGAAAAAAAAATCGTACGGCGTATTGTGCACTTCATGTACACAGGTCATTAATTTTTTCGCTTAGATTCGAAGTTAGCGATAGCATCACTAAATAGTCAGACAGCATAAATGCGATAATTACTTATTTACTCCGTATGTGATTACGTAATTAATTGATGGATATAGGATGTATCTCAAGATTTACTGTGTTACTACATAATAAATTTGAGAATTCTGCAAAGATTTAAAAAATTCCTCTGTTTATAATTCCTAGAAAAAACTCTTTTAACATCATTTTTATCTGCAAGTATTAATTTTGTATATAATTAAGAGAGAGCTTGTGGATGAGAGTTACGAAAACGCTCTCTGTCGTAATTTTTTTTAAGTATCTTCTACATTATTTTGCAAGAAATGCAGCAAGTCCCACGTATAAACAAGAGTTCACCTGTCGCTGCATTATACCTATATACCGATTATACCAAACGATTATCCACGCTGGCCGCACATGTTTCAATTATGAAAAATATTCGTAAACAACATAGCAGCGCTGCGTAATACGGGATATTTAGTAAATGATGATAGACAGTTTTAGGACTAGAGAAACGCATGAGAAGAAGCGAAAAATATTCATTTGAATCCGGAAATATTTTTCCCGGGTTCCTTTCGCAATGTTGAAACGACTATACCCGCCGTGCTCCAACAATGCGCAAAGTAATTCTCTACAGAAAACTAACATTTTTAATTGCTATTGATTTTTTAATGTTCATTCTAATAATCAGTATTCTAATAATAATAATACTTATTCAATATCAATATTCTAACTTAATATCAATATTCTAATAATAATAATACTTAATTAAGAAATACAGAATTCGATGGAAAGTTCCTTTATAGAATTATTACTTATTAAGTACAGTAAATACTCTAATTTCATTTATTCTTTAAAAGTGAATTAGTGACTTCAGTGCTGCACTTATAACTAATGTAATTATTAGTAAATATATTTTTTAGTAATGATACACTGATTCATTTTTTAGGATTAGGATTTTCTACAAGTGAATCTGCAGAAAGTCATAACTTCTAAAAGTAAATCAGTATATTATTATATTACTAAAAAACATTAAATATTCGCTGATGATACATCAGTTCTAAGTATAGTACTGAAGTTAGTACGATACACTGATTTGCTTTTAAAGAGTATGTTAATTGATTATTAATGTTAATCGTCGCAATAAAACACGGAATTTATTACAACAGATTCATTAAACAGGGATTTTAGCGAAAATCGAGAAATCTCGTGGCAGACCGCAAGATTTCCGGTGAAAACCGTAATTTCCGGTGAGATAAATTGACCGGACGAACGGGTACTCACACTCTCGTATATTACGATCTTAAAACAAGCACGGGGCACAACAGCCTTGTACTAAAAATCCACCAAACCGTTTTAAGTTTGCCTCTCGTCCTCGTTTAAATTCTTATCAATGCACGTTCTACATGCGAGCTCGTTACGTTTCGCGAAAACTAATTTTTCAACGTTGGCGCAGTTTCCACAAGAAAGGCACTCTCGTTCTTGTTGATATCTTGTTGATTATGCGCTTGAACGTTGCACGACGAGAGGAAAAAAAAACTGATTTAATATCGATCAGAGCAACGTCTAATTATTGATAATTATCTAATTACACGTTTTTTCCAGAATTTTGCGAGAAGAGAGGAATATCGAGCTTTAATATTATCTTATTTTTTACGGAGACGATAAAAACCTTTATGCGACTCTATCACGATTACTTTCGTAAGCATTTGGAACACCGCACTCGTTATCAGTTCCATTACTTTCTCCCACATGTGTATTTTTATAAGTAGTACTTTCTACTTTGAATGTAACTTTCTTTAAGATTCTAGAAACGATAAAAGAAAATTGAAAATTCAATCGTCGTAACCAATTGATTGTGACCAATTTCTAATTCCTGCAATCTCTGTATGCAAAAATAAGTTTTTATATTACTTTAATTATTTCTGCACCGAAGTGCTAATTTATTCATATTTACTCTGACGTTTATTTTTCTGTCTTTTTGTCTTTTTTGCGATTGAATATTAAGAGAGAACGTATGAGAGAAAGTTTCTTAGTTAATATATATCTATTTGGGTGCGACCCCAATCTCCAAAAACTTTCTCGAAAATTGAGCTTTGACAGTTCAGTTTAAAAAATTTATCACGTTCAAAGGATGCCGAACCAATAAATTTCGATCGATCCAAGCGTTTCCGCAATTTATTTCGCACATCTTCGATCGAGAGTCCGTTATATCGAAAAAAAAAAAAAAAAAATGTATTTTACCAACGTATGTAAGTCACACCGTTTTTATTTCATGGAGCCGGCAACCGGTCGGCTGCCCCTTGGAAATCGACGACCTTTGCATCAACGTATGTTCGTTTTGTTTCAGAAACGTATCGTGAACTTCGCCGGCGGGCAGGAGGAACGCGGAAGGAAAGGAGATGACACGCCGGGTCGCACGAGGAAACGAAGCCGCGATTTTTCCACGCGCGCGCAAATAACGATCGAGGAGAGGTACAGCCTTGGAAGTGGCGAACGATAGTTTCTGAGACGACCGATCGACAGTCGCTTACATAGCATAACGCTGACGACTCGTTCGAGTTTCGCAATTTATCTCGATCATCGATACCAACTGCGATTTTAGAACGGTTTTATTTTATCCGGCCGGAGTAGGAAGAAGTCGATCTTCCTCCTATATCTCATTCCTTCGAATAAAACACGAAGTACGACGAAGTGGCGGCACAATGTAGCGCGGTGACCTCGACCGAAAGGTGTGGACTTTCTTACGTGAACTAGAAACCAGTGCGAAAGTTCGTTGAGAATTTTTCGCAAAGAGACAAACGCGAGGATGAAGACGATGGGCGATGTCGTCGCGGATTCCATCGACGAGAACGATGGCACGGTGCAACCCTCCAGTGTGAGCAAAGAGTTTGGTCACAGGACACTGAGATCCTTGAAAAGAGGACTGGGTCGGCTCTGGAGGAGGCACAGAGGCAACGTGTCGATTACCGAATACGATCCCTCCTACAAAGTCGCGTATCTCGGAAATGTGCTGACTGGATGGGCCAAGGGTGAGTGGAATTCGAAATAAAATTTCGATATTGTTAAATAATCACTACAAAGATTAGAACTTTATAAATAAGGAAAAGAGAGAATATTATATATGTTATTGTTTTATTAGATGTACTCTAAAAATTTACATTGTGACACTTCCAAAATTAAATTTTTTAAAATTATAATTAATTCAAATTAACGTTTAATGTTGAATTAGTAGAATGATAATAAAGTAAAAGATTTTTGTTTCATGTACAGAAAGAACGATGGTTTTGCTGAAGCATTTGCAAATTTAGTTAAATACAGATCTGAACATAAATCTGTTAAACTATCGAAATAATTATGTAGAACGCTCAAGCTGATTACTATAGAATCAACAAATCCTTTGCAATATTTCTCATCAGGTTTGAGTTTTCTGTATAATTATATTGATGGTTCAATCAAATTATTTTTAAATGTTATAGCTGGGTTTTTAGGCTAAATCATTTTCTTCATGTATAAAATCAAGCTTAATTTTTTACTCTCTTTATCGTCGTTCCACTTATTCAACATTAATAACATATTAATTTTAATCTAAAAAGTTAACTTTGAAAATATCACGATATAAACTTTTGAAATGCATTTAACTAAACTTTTAGATACTTTAGTAAAATCATTCTCCGTCGATTATCAGAGGTTAACTGGCTAATGTAACTTGTGTTGTTTTGCTACTCTGGACTATTTGTAAACAATAATTCATAAAAATAAAATGAAAAAATTTTTCATATTATGACTGGAGTGATAAAAAATATTGCAAAAATGAATATAAATAGGTAAATTAATATTAGATATTGAAGTTATTCGATATCTTTGTCAATATGTCGTTTTAATTTGATAGGATAAACATATACTTGAATTTTTTAATCAATTTTTACGCATGTTACATTATCGCCAAAGACAAGTACATTACGCATAATTAATTGAATTACAAACGCACAAAAAATATTACGCAAGCAGTTATGTTAAATTATGTTATTGAATCTATTATTATTTATGATAAATAATACGTTCACGAATAAACCATCCATTCATTAATCCCAACAATGTCGCACAATTAATTAAGTCATATTTCCCATGTTTGACATTCAAGTAATCATATTGAGAGTCAGATTATAGAATTTATCTTAAAGTTTATTTATTCGTGAATGTTTATATAAATTGAAAGTCGTATTACTTACAAAAATGATATCGATATTTTATCGGTAACCGATTTGACAGATTCACCGACGTTTCGCTTTCATTTTAATCAAGTTGTTCCAGACGATGAAAAAATTAGGCCGATACTTAATCCTCGGACTTTATCATCGGTAATTACGCGTCCAGATAAGCGGCAATTAAGAACGATAGATACACGTTGCGTACGTGCGCGTTATCCCTCGATCGTGCAGCCTTGGCACGTGAATAACCAACCGGAAGTGCGCGATATCTTTTACGACCGATGCATCAACAAGGAGCAAGGTCATAATTAATTTTCTATTGACATTCATCGGTCGTGGATCTCACCCTTCTCGTCTTGTTAAGGGATATCTAGACGTGTCAAAACAAAATCTAATTTTGTGAATTTTTTGTAGATAAGCGGAAAGAAATAAAGAAGTCGGGTTTATTTCATTGTGAAGAGAGTTTTTCTCTCTTTTAAATGTTATTAAAAAGTAATAAAAATGGCGACGTTATTAACGTTCTTATGAAACTCGTTTTAAAAAACATGGTTTACGATGACCACTGCCGCTTCTAAAAAATTCATCTGAAAAAAAAAAACGAACACAAATTTTATAAAGTTGAAACATAAATCTAATATTTTGACGTAGCCGTTTTTTGAAATATTACGTTTGAATAAAATGACGTTTATTCAAAGTTAAAAAATATCGATTTTTTACAAAAAAAAAATTGTTTTGTTGCAAAAAAACAAGCAAAACAAAACATCATTTAAAAAAATATCAAAATTATATCAAAAACCAGTTTTTAGTGTATAAAGAAAATGTATAAAATTATAAGTCGCGCTCGATTACGCCGTCTTTAAGATATATTATAATTACAAGTTTTGAAAATCGTGTTTTGAGGAAAACGGGTTTAAAGTTTTACATTCTGTATACATTACAAACATTGAAAGCTTTACAGTTACATTAAATCACCTACGTCAGGATCATAAAATCTTTTACTGTTCGAAGGCTTGATAAATATCGTAATAGAAACGAGAAAAACCCTTTTTTTTTATATTTTAATAGATCTTATTTTAGGTATACGTCTATTTGTTTAGTGAGTTTGGTTCACTCAGTGCGCTCGACTATGATTTTGTGTAATTTTTCCATTTTTTGCGTTGATTTTTACACAAAGATTCTTAAGAAATCAGGCCTCAAAAATATAAAAAGAAATTTAATTTTTTGAACTCTTGTAAATATACCTATGCTCTTTAAATTACCTTCTTAGTAAGCTTTTCTTTCAACCAGAAGAGATTTTTATTCAAAGCGGTGCAAATGCAAAGCTTGAAGATTTATTACAAATATTTTTAATAATTTGGAGTTGAATCGTTATTGACGAATGAAAAAAAGATAATTATTCTTTTAATTAGTAATTAAAAGAAATCTGTAAATAATGGTGAAAATATTTTTAGCGCTTGTGAATTGTCGTTTAAAAAATAGATAATATTTTATTATTTGTTTCTCAGAAAATCTTAAAACTTTATTTATAACTTTGTTTGCAATCTCTTAGAAGAAATAAAACTCAATAAAAATTAGCTGTCTTGTTCTATTCAATCTTGAAACTTGTGAAAATTACACGAGCGCATATAAATATAAATTCATCACTAAAGACTCCTGCTGAAAACCGGCTCCAAGTTCGTCAAAAAATTGTACCGATGAGAAAGTGCGACTCTCTCATATTAACGACGACATGCTCCTTCTGTCACGTATCCTCCTTCTGTTTTATTCCGTTCACTAAAAAAAACTTACTAAATTTTACATATTTTTTTTCATATAGTACTAAATAAACATTTACTTGCAGTAAATAAAAATTTGAATAGTTTTAAGTAAATATTTACTAAATATAAACGTAATTATTGATATAATACAATATTGATACAATAAAATATTGATATAATACAAAATTATTAATTTAACTTGTATTTTTAACTTTTATTTTTTATTGAATAAGTAAATATTAACTCTCAATAAAAAATGATAGTTAAATTAATGTTTTTTGTATCGCATACGTTTACATTTCGTAAATATTTACTTATAGAATAATTCAAATAAATATTTCCCTAAAAAATACAAAAACTAAATATAAATTTTAACAAATGTATTTATTAAAATAATAATAATACATTTTTTTCAATGTGTACGGGAAACTAGACTTACCGGATTTTGGCCGTTTCCTAAGCGTGAAACGTGAAACGGGGGCGAACAATCGTCAAAACGCCATGAAACACGATAGTGATAACACGCAGATAGCATCTCGATAAAATTGCGTTCTGACACTTGTAGCGGTCGTAGCGCAAGGTAAAAAAAATACAAGGAATTATGTGGTGCAATGACCGGACACAGGCGTACACGACACGGGGCCGGCCGCCGGACTTTCTCTGCATATCTTTGCCGCCAACTGGATCGGCCTTAATCGTCATCAGCCAATCGCCATTATTACGGTTTGCATTAACGCCTATTCGATTAATTAATTCGTGATTGTCCCTCGGGGTATCCGGTATGTAGGATATCGCCGTTCAAGACATATGTTGCCCGTGTGAATGGCGTACTTCGCGGCCTATACGAGCGAGTACATTTATAATCAGAATCAGCCGGTCACATTTTGCGCTAAGCGTAATAAATCGGAAGAAGTAAGATGGACGTGCGTGGCTGACTAAAAATTTTAATAATACAAACTCGCTACTTAAAAAAGAAAAATGCAAGAACACGTGATACTGATGATAAAGGAAACATGAAGTGCTACTTAAAAATTTTTTTAGAGAAATCTTTATGTGATTTCTGCACCTTTGTTCTTTACTTTTTAAAGCAATATTTTTATTTTAAAATCGTGTATTTTCAAATCGGACATTTTTATTTATCGATGAAATTTCCACGAGTAGATTTTTTTTTAATAGGAGATACGTGACAAATATGAGGACGACAATTTTATTTTGCATCAAATAGTGGCGTGAACACGGATTATAAATAGCTTCGACTCTTTATCACGACAGGTTTAACCGACGTGTTTGTATTTTTGATCACTGCGTGCTGATACATACATACGTGAGAGTCTAAAGCAAAATACGGAGTTTCCGATCGAGAATAACTTAACCACACACCGATGTGACGTACGTCGTACGCGCGCATGTGTGTGTATATATGTGTGTGTCTGTGTATCATCTGTACTTCCTCTCAATACATATCATATAGGATTAATTTCATTACTTTTAAAAAATTATTTCTCCTGTTATTATAAGGCGGCGGCCTTATCGGATTGCATTGATTAACGTTGTAACGAGTCGCAACGAGCGAAATCAATGTAATAACAGGGCACATGCAATTGGTTGTTGTTTATGTTTTATGTGATATAAAATATACAGGCTTTTGAGATCTGATACTAAAAAAGAAAATATATCGTTTTTAGAACTGAAGCGTGCAAAAACTCGAATTACATCTGACTAATATATATATGTATGTATAATCGAGGTTGTAAATTTACTGTTAAATTTTTAAACGCATAATTTTACTGTAATGCATTTTTTACGATTATTGCATTTATGTTGAAATGACTGCTATTTAAATATTTAAAAAATCTAATTCTAAATGTTTTATTGGAAGCATCGATAATAATTTTAAAATTAGCTTAAATTTAGAATCTAGAAAAGGTACGTGATAACTTCGTAGATTAATCACTAATGCATAAAAAATTCATTTTTAACATTCTAGAGTGTCGTTTTTACGTCAAGTGTGCGCATACAGATTTATGCTCCTGATTTAACTTATGAGGGTTATCGGCATGGCTA